TCGATCAAACCTTCCAACACCTTTGCAAGCAATTTCCTGTGTAATTTTCCCTCCATCCAAAAAAAAACTAGAATAGTTCCTCCCTTCCCTTTCTCCTTCCTTTCTTTCTTTCTCATTCTTTCTTTCCTGTCTGGTCCATGGCTGATGACACTTGCAGAGTTGTGTTCAGTTGCTACTGTTGCTGTTGTTGTTGTTCAGTCACCAAGTCGTGTCCGACTCTTTGTGACCCCATGGACTGCAGCATGCCAGGCCTCCCCGTCCCTCACCATCTCCCGGAGTCTGCCCAAGTTTATTTCCATTGAATCGGTGATGCCATCCAACCATCTCATCCTCTTCTGCCTTCTTCTCCTTCTGCCTTCAGTTTTTCCTAGTATCAGGGTCTTTTCCAATGAATTGGCTGTTCACATCAGGTGACCAAAGTATTGGTGCTTCAGCTTCAGCAACAGTCCTTCCAGTGAATGTTCAGAGTTGATTTCCTTTAGGAAATCAGTTGATACTAAAAAGGGTAAAGAAGCACTAGATCTATGAAAAAGATGACATAGATAATGTTGTCCTGTTATCCAGAACTCCAAATAGCCTAATACTGGACAGTCATGGTCCTGAATGTATTATTCAAGTAAAGGTTTTTATCCTGTTTGAAATGTATTGATGGAGTAAGCACAGTTGAGCTGCTCAATTGGTTTCATGTATGAATGGATTTCAGATGCAGGGCTGTTGATCCAGCATCTTTTCCAAGTAACAAATTCACAGAGGAAGAGTGAGAAAATAAAAAAATTCCCAAGGCTCTGCAATCCTCTGTCACACAATTATTTTCCATCCGACCTTTGGAATATATATCAAATACAATGAAACCAGTGAGTCAGCTTTAATGGTGTGGCCAAGTCACTTAGAAGGAAAGAGAGATCTCTCTAAGCCTTCTGAACTTCCTGACACATGGTGTGCTGAGGATACCAGTTCCCAGTAAGATAGTTGAATTCCCTTTTGTTTGGGGATTTTCTTGAAAAAAGTGTTTTGCAGTGCCCTGTCAGTTCAGTTCAGTCACTCAGTCATGTCCGACTCTTTGCGACACCATGGACCACAGCATGCCAGGACTCCCTGTCCAGCACCAACTCCTGGAGTCCACCCAAACCCATGTCCATTGAGTCGGTGATGCCATCCAGCATGTGTGGAAACACCATTGGCCACAACACTTCAGTATGGCTTGGTGCGCGCTCAGTCGCTTCAGTCGTGTCCGACTCTTTGTGACGCTATGGACCATAGCCTGCCAGGCTCCTCTGTCCATGGGATTCTCCAGGCAAGAACACTGGAGTGGGTTGCTATGCCCTCTTCCAGGGGACCTTCCTGACCCAGGCATTGAACCCACATCTCTTAAGTCTCTTGCACTGGCAGGTGGGTTTCTTAACCACTAGGGCCACCTGGGAAGCCAGTTCAGTACGGCTCGGGCTTATAATTCCACAATCCTATAGCCACACAGCCTGGCTTTTGTTGAAGAACCTTATAGGTACGTCTGCCCCGAGGCGGTGAATGTGGGCAAACGGCAAAGGGATCATTCAAGGGTTCTCTCACAGAGAGATGAGCAAAGGTGTGGGGAGAACATGTAGAAATGAAAACAATTAAATCTAGCTCTCTGAAACAGAAAGAGAAATTAAGGAAACAATACCATTCACCATTGCAACAAAAAGAATAAAATACTTAGGAGTATATCTACCTAAAGAAACAAAAGACCTATACATAGAAAACTATAAAACACTGATGAAAGAAATCAAAGAGGACACAAACAGATGGAGAAATATACCGTGTTCATGGATTGGAAGAATCAATATTGTCAAAATGGCTATACTACCCAAAGCAATCTACAGATTCAATGCAATCCCTATCAAACTACCAACGGTATTTTTCACAGAACTAGAACGAATAATTTCACAATTTGTCTGGAAATACAAAAAACCTCGAATAGCCAAAGTAATCCTGAGAAAGAAGAATGGAACTGGAGGAATCAATCTGCCTGACTTCAGACTATACTACAAAGCCACAGTCATCAAGACAGTATGGTACTGGCACAAAGACAGAAATATAGATCAATGGAACAGAATAAAAAGCCCAGAGATAAATCCACGAACCTATGGTCACCTTATCTTTGACAAAGGAGGCAAGGCTGTACAATGGAAAAAAGACAACCTCTTTAACAAGTGGTGCTGGGAAAACTGGTCAACCACCTGTAAAAGAATGAAACTAGAACACTTTCTAACACCATACACAAAAATAAACTCAAAATGGATTAAAGATCTAAATGTAAGACCAGAAACTATAAAACTCCTAGAGGAGAACATAGGCAAAACACTCTCCGACATAAATCACAGCAGGATCCTCTATGACCCACATCCCAGAATTTTAGAAATAAAAGCAAAAATAAACAAATGGGACCTAATGAAACTTAAAAGCTTTTGCACAACAAAGGAAACTATAAGCAAGGTGAAAAGACAGCCCTCAGATTGGGAGAAAATAATAGCAAATGAAGCAACAGACAAAGGATTAATCTCAAAAATATACAAGCAACTCCTCCAGCTCAACTCCAGAAAAATAAATGACCCAATCAAAAAATGGGCCAAAGAACTGAACAGACATTTCTCCAAGGAAGACATACAGATGGCTAACAAACACATGAAAAGATGCTCAACATCACTCATTATCAGAGAAATGCAAATCAAAACCACAATGAGGTACCATTACACACCAGTCAGGATGGCTGCTATCCAAAAGTCTACAAGCAATAAATGCTGGAGAGGGTGTGGAGAAAAGGGAACCCTCTTACACTGTGGGTGGGAATGCAAATTAGTACAGCCACTATGGAAAACAGTGTGGAGATTTCTTAAAAAGCTGGAAATAGAACTGCCATATGACCCAGCAATCCCACTTCTGGGCATACACACCGAGGAAACCAGATCTGAAAGAGACACGTGCACCCCAATGTTCATCGCAGCACTGTTTATAATAGCCAGGACATGGAAGCAACCTAGATGCCCATCAGCAGATGAATGGATGAGGAAGCTGTGGTACATATACACCATGGAATATTACTCAGCCATTAAAAAGAATTCATTTGAATCAGTTCTAATGAGATGGATGAAACTGGAGCCCATTATACAGAGCGAAGTAAGCCAGAAAGATAAAGACCATTACAGTATACTAACGCATATATATGGAATTTAGAAAGATGGTAATGATAACCTTATATGCAAAACAGAAAAAGAGACTCCGATGTATAGAACAGACTTGTGGACTCTGGGAGAAGGCGAGGGTGGGATGTTTCAAGAGAACAGCATCGAAACACATATATTATCTAGGGTGAAACAGATCACCAGCTCAGGTTGGGTGCATGAGACAAGTGCTCGGGCCTGGTGCACTGGGAAGACCCAGAGGGATCGGGTGGAGAGGGAGGTGGGAGGGGGGACCGGGATGGGGAATACATGTAAATCCATGGCTAATTCATTTCAATGTATGACAAAAACCACAGCAATGATGTAAAGTAATTAGCCTCCAACTAATAAAAATAAATGAAAAATAAATAAATAAATCTAGCTCTCTGCTGTCTTTCATCTGGATAAACCTTAATGACCACCTAGAGCTGAATATTAAATATGGTGGTTCTGTTTGAATTCTCCCATTAATTTCTTGGAGCTTATGTGCCCTGTCTGATTACACAGCAGAAATACTGTGTGCACCGCCTGAAACACTCTGTGGCTAAGAAAGAGTTAATGAACTCTTACTGCCCGGCCAGGTCCTCGTGCCCCTACAGCTTCTAGACTAAAGGATAGAACACAATTTATGAGGAAAAATGGGAGGGCTCCTGTCACCTGTACATGTTGTTCAGCCACTCAGTTGTATCCGACTCTTTGTGACCCAGTGGACTGCAGCATGCCAGGCTTCTCTCCTTCACTATCTCCCAGAGCTTGCTCAAACTCGTCCATTGAGTCAGTGATGCCATCCAACCATCTCATCCTCTGTCCCCTTCTTCTCCTGCCTTCAATGTTTCCCAGTATCAGGGTCTTTATAAAAGTAAAGACTATCAGAGTCTTTACACCTCTGCATGAGCCATTTACAAAAAAGTCAAAACAAAACCGCGAAGACCCTCCAATGTGATTTTTATGAAGGTTTTACAATTGCAAAAAAAAAAAAAAAGAAAAGAAAAAGATCCCATTTGACCCAGTGGCCAAGAAACCAGAATCACAACATTCACCAATGTTTATAAAATGATGCAAGTTTTATTGTTCATGCACAGAGGGGACTGGAGCAGAAAAGAACTAAAGATCCTGTGTTTGATTTCCTAGAAGCTGATTGCTATAGGCACGGCCCCACCAAAACTACTCACCATCAAAGTGATGAAAGATCAGCTTCCTGTGTGTACTCTGCTTTTAGGTCAGGTATCGCCTCCAGGAAGCCTTCCCCACCCTGAGGATCTGGTAGAGGTCCCTGGTCTATCTTCTGTCCCAGTAACCTGACTTTTGGCACTGCTTGTGGTCTAATTCCTTCTGCACCTGTCTCACCAGTCTGGGAGCACCTATGGGTAGGCACCAGCTGCCTCCACACATCTGAGGAACTCAGCCACCACATCACAGTTTTGTAGGAGACAGAGGGTAGAATGGTGAAGTTACAGGCAGAACTTTTAGTCTAGATACCTCCCCAGCTTCCATTGATTGTGTGGACTTAGAGGCCAGGAGAAGGCAAAAAGAGAAACTGCAGAATAATGGAACTAGTGAAACATCACAGGGACTTCGCTGGTGGTCTGGGGGTAAGACCTTGACCTCCAAAGCAGGGTGATCTGGTTCGATCGCTGGTCTGGTTGGGGAACTAAGGTCCCACATGCCTCGGGGCCAAAAAACCAAAACGTAAAATGGGAACAATATTGTACTAAATTCGGTAAAGACTTTCAAAATGGTCCACACAAAAAAACATCTTAAAGAATCTTTGCAGAAAAGATGAAGAAAAGAACTAGATGAGACTCAGTGGAGTTTGTGTGAAAGTGTTCGTTGCTCAGTCGTGTCTGACTCTTTGCAGCCCCATACACTGTAGCCCACCAGACTCCTCTGTCCATGGGATTTCCCCAGGCAAGAATACTGAAGTGGGTTGCCTTTCCCTTCTCCAGGGGATCTTCCCAATCCAGGGACTGAACCCGGGTCTCCCACACTGCAGCTGGATTCTTTACCACCTGAGCCACTCAGGACAGAAGTGATTGGAAAATCCAGGATCACGTACTCTGCAAAGTGAAGGTGAATGACAAATCCATTCTAACCCATGCCTTGGCGTATATCCTGTGATGTTCTCATTTCTTAGGACAACAAACTGAAATCCAGACTTTGTGGAGCTAAAGGTGATTGGTTTACAAGTTTAACTGTGACATCAGATTTCTCCTGAAACCTGTCCTGCTGCCAGATGGAGTAGCAATAAGCTATTAAGAAGGGCCCCAAAGGAAGGTGGTTCTATTTGTCCTGCTTTTTGTCTTTTGATGTCAGTTCTCCACTAACCTTTGTCCAGGGAGAATTCTGCTGTCTTCCTGGATAAGCCCATTGAGTCCATCCTTGAAGCTTGCCCTTTGCAGCTGTCCTTTCTCTGTGACATATGCCTCTGCTTCTAGAATGTTTCTGAATGCTTTCATTTCCTTCCTGAGAGAGAAAAAAATGGAGAAAGTGGAGTGAAATGTATCTCTTTAATATTCATCCACTCAACAAGATTTTGTCAGCTGCTGAAGATATAAGCAGAGGGGTACAGGAATGCTGCAGAGACTCAAACCCAGTCGAACAGATCTGGGTTTGAGTTCTGGTTGGATCACTTACTAGTGCCCCCATCACTGTTTGTATCAGTTTGTATTGGGTTGTTTATTTATTTTTGCCTATGCTGGGTCTGCGTTGCTGCCCACGGGCTTTCTCTAGTTGTGGTGCCGGGGCTTCTTATTGCAGTGTCTTCTCTGGCCGCAGATCACAGTGCTCTAGACAAGTGGGCCTCAGCAGCTGCGGCCCTGGGGCTCAGTAGTTTTGGCGCATAGGCTTAGTTGCCCTGCAGCATGTGGGATCTTGGTTCCCAGATCAGGGATCAAACCCGTGTCCCTTGCATTGGCAGGTGGATTCTTAACCATTGGATCACCGGGGAAGTCCTGTATTGTATTATTATTTGTACTGTTGATCTCTCAGGGCCTCCAGTTTCCTTTCCATAGAATGGGGAGCTCCCTGGGCTATTTAATCTTTTGGCCAGTCTTGTGGACATGGTTTAGTTAAATGCTAGTGCTTTCTTCTGCATGGAAATTGCCTGTCATTGAGCATTGTACAACAAGGCTTTGGGCTTTCTATTCCCAAGAGATATGTCAGACAAGATATATCAAACAATGTATCAAAGGTTGTACTGGAGTAGGTTTCAGCCTTTATTACTTACATCAGGTCATGAAATTTTTGCCAGCTTGCTACTAGGAATTGTCTTTGTCATAGACTATAGGAAATCTGGCCCTCAAGCCAGTTACTAACCCAAGTCCTAGTACCAAACGATACTTAGAAAAACAGGCAGACCACTCAGACCTCTCAATAGATGATTATCTATTTGGTTCTCAAGTTAACCTCCAACGTTACAGAAATGGTGATAGATTAGGACATGGAGCTCCTGAGAAAAGGACAGGAGAGCTTGGTGTAGTGGAAAAATCAGAAGCTTTAGCACTCAAATGATCTGCATTTAAACCCTAGTTTATCTATCTTCTTGCTAGTTGCTAAAGCTAGTCCTGGTCTCTTCGTCTGTAAACTGAGGATAACGATGCCCATTAGTGGGGATGTCGCGAGGGCCAGAGACAGTGGGTGAGGCGCCTGGACCCGCGGAGCCTCGGAAGCTTGCTGGATTAGGGCGGGAGCTGGCCCGGGACCGGCCACCGGGAATGCTGCCCAGGGGGGTACGGCGGGTTGGGGACCGCAGTTGGGGGAAGGCGCTCAGGCCGCGGCAGCCCGGGTGGTCGGGTCGCGCGCCAGGCGGAGGCCGGGGGCTCCCCGGGGCCTTTTGTTGGCAGCCTGAGCGGCCTCCGCGCACACGCCCGAGAGGATTAAAGCCAGATGTGGCGGCCCGGCGCCGCCGAGCGCTCAGAGCCCGGGCCGGAGACCCAGACGCTGGTCCATACCCGGCGGTGACAGTGAGTGAAGCGGGGAGATCTCACGAGAACGGTACAGGCTGCGAGGCGTCGCCCCTAGATGACAACCGGGCGGGCCTCCGGCCGGCGGCTGGGCCGCGCGGGGGCGCCCGGGGGACGGCACAGGCGGCCAATGGCTGGCGGGGTCCCGGGCGGGGCCGGGCGCGGGGGCCGCGGCGCTCCGGCGGCGGGGCGGAGCCGCGCGGGGAGGCGGGGGCGCCCGGCGGCTGCTCGGTGGCGGCTCGTCGGCGGCCGCGGCAGGACTGGCAGCGCCGGCGGCGGGTGAGGGGTTCGCGGCGGCGGCGTGCGGGCAGCTCCGGGGGGTGGCGCAGGGCGGCTGCGCGGAGGGCGCGGGATGGAGGGGCGGCGCCGGGTCGCGGGAGATCCACCTGCTGGTAACGGAGCCGCGGCCGCCGCGGCCGGGCCCGGAGCTCGTGCGCCTCCGGCTGTGCGGGGCCGTCTCGGGGCGCGGGCGGGCTGGGCCTCGGGGGCGGGCGCGGGCCGGGCCGCCCTGGGCGCGCCGTCAGCCCCGCTCCAACGCCGCCGCAGCCCCTCGGTGCCGCGCGCTCTCTCGGTGGCCGGCCGGGCGCCTGGTGCGCTCTCGGCGCTCCGTGGCGCGGCGGGGTTCGCTGACTTTGGGGCAAAGTGAAGGAAAGTGGGCGCTTGGGGGGTGAGGCAGAGTTGCTCGCGGGACTGCCCCATGGCTCACGCCCGTCCCGGAATCGGCGGCGTCCCGGGGCCGCGGGGCAGCTGGGGCGGGGGCGAGGCGGGCCGGGGTTGCTCCCGAGGCGTGCACCGTTCTGGCGAATTTTCCTACAAAGTCAAGACCTGCGGGTCCTATGTGTAAGCGCACCCCCATCCCCAGGCCTCTGTTCCCCGCTATCGAGGAGGCTGCGAGTGGGATCCTCGGGTCGGGGCCAGGTGATTCCATTGAGGGTAGCACCAGGTGGCAGCGGGAAGCCGTGTTTTATGAGCTGGCAGGCAGACCACTCGCGCGCCCGCTTTTTATTTCTCGCAGCGAGTGTTCCTCTGGAGCCCGTTCATTGCTTACAATCCGGATTGCGAAATAGAAGCAGGCGCAGTGTCTGTTGTCAGTGCTCTCCATATATTTTGCTGTTGTGCTTTTGCTGTCGGACGACTTCTGGCCAAAGAAAATGGCAACGTCATTCGTTTGAATTTAGAAGCTAAATTTAGAAGTGAATAATATGCTTTTAATGGTTTATCTTTTTTCCCCTGAATGTTAAAAAACAACAACACTGGCATTAACAGGTTATCCTAACAAAGGTTTCTTTAGCCCGGACCGTGTAAATCTGAAAACGCACAGGACGATGAAGTTATGTAAGCTGTATTAAGGAAAAATAGAAATCCTATTATAAATATAAAACCAATGAATTTTAACAAAACCGCGATGAATAAAGTTACAGGGCTTACATCATGGTATTCATAAGGGTGCCTTTCCTTCAGGCACCTCTGTTCTGTCTGGAATGGCAGTGAAATATGTCAAGCATTTTTAGCCATGGAACATACTATTTCGGAGAACACTTTAAAATCAAAGGTTATGTATCTAATAATAACATACGACTGCAGCCCTTAGAAGACGTTAATAAAACAGGTTTTTTTCCCGTCTGAGATCTGGAGTTGAAAGTTCCAAACATCTTTGTCAGGATGAAGAAGATGACCAGTAACTTTAGCCACTGCCTTTTTGTTGTTAAGGATTCCGATGTGTTAAGCGATAGTCTCAGAGAGCGTCAAGGTGTTAGATTGAAATTTTTGTGAGTGTGGATGCTGACAACAAATGGGTCACTTCTCCTGCCTTACTACCTGTCAGTCAACACACAGAGCTCTCGGCTGTCTGAACTACCTCTCCTGGTTTGAGAGCGCAGGGATCACTGGTTTTGCTCTTTTATGGTGCAACTAAACTTCATTAGTGTGGAAACCCTGATTAAAAATGTATGACAATATTCTGAGTAAAATGCCCTCGTATTTCTCTTGCAGAATTTCAGGTCCTATTTGTTGGTAGAGTTAATTATAAGCATTTTCTTCAAACCAGAGATGAATAACTTCCTGGATCCAATATTTAACATTCCTTATGTTTTTCATGTTACCAATACTGTATCTATAATCTACTTTCATTATAGAGTTCATTCACTTTTACTTGTCTCTCTACCGGTTTATACTGACTTTCATACAAATAAGTATTTAGTAAAACTGTGTTTCAAAAATCCTTCATTTTCTACTTCTTCACTTCCCCTTCCTTGTGATTACTGATTGAATGTTTATTTTAATAACCTGTATACTTCTGGATCTCTTATCAGGACAGTATCTTTTTTGAAGTAAAGTGGGGCTCAGGTGGGGCTATAGCAACAGAAAGTTATATGCATCTTCATATAATGCCATGAAAAAATTAAAATTCCAAGTTACATAATTCACTGAGTTAGCCCTTCTTTTTTTCTTATAATCAGAATCATTATCAAGTGCTTAAAAAAATTTATCTGGAAAAAAAAAATTTATCTGGATGTGCTGAGTCTTAGTTACAGCGTGTGGGATCTTGTTCCCTGACCAGGGATCAGACCCCGGCCCCCTGCATTGGGATCACAGAGTCAGCTACTGGACCACCAGGGAAGTCCCTTGAGTGCTTATTGATATGTTAATAAGACAGCATATTAGACACTTATGGAATTGAGTTGAAATTCTGGGATTTCACCATGAAGACTGTTGACATGGATATGTTAGGTGAATAACTTTGGTTTTAGAAAATAATCATAACTTGAACGTGAGAGTATCTTTGGAAATTCTTGATTGCAGAGAGTAAGGGGAAGCAAGGAAGTAGAAGAAAAGTTCAGTGCCTCTAGAGTATTATATCAATAACGCAGAGCTGCTGCTGGTCAAGGAGGGTTCACAGGCTGCTTGGTTGTGAGTCAGGGAGAGGAGTGCCCAGCCCAGGGTACAGGAAGTGAGAAATTCATTCAGGTTTTAAGTTGAAACTTTGAAGTTTCCAATTTTGCAGTTTATTCCATAATAGATCCATATTCGTTGTAGAGTCTTTTTTTTTTTTAATTCACACTTTAAACTGTTGGGTAAAGGTAACGCCTTGGGAAGATTCTCCAGTGTAACCTGAGGCTTAGAGTACTACCTTGGAGCTTCTTTTCAGAGGACTGCGTGCAGAGAGGCAGAGGGTGGGAGATGAGAACTTGGACTTTGGAGACAGGCAAATTAGGGTTCCTTCTCTGGGTTCATTTCATTATGTGTAAAGTAGGGCTAGCAGTGCCTGCCTCAAGGGAGTTTGTGAAGATTCAGAGCCCCTGAGGAAATGCTCAGTGAGTTGTAGTGTCTGTCATCATCGTTATTAATCCAGATGATCTTTTCTCACTAGTGGAGGTTTCTAGCAACGGTCAGTTTTACCAACCAGCTGAGATGGTCATTTCTGAATTGCCTACAGATGGCTGCTTTAGTCAGAGAGAATTGTTCCTCAGGCTTCCCAGGCCTTTTTGGAGTTGCATTAACTCATCCTACTGGAGTGACACTGAGTGGATTGCCAAGTGCATCTCTTGGTCCCCTGGGGCCACCAGGAATCAATGCACATCTTGTCTGGCCTGACATGCCCCTAGGGAATGAAATTGGTTCTGTGCTGAGAGGCCTAAACCAGTGACTGGCTGCAGGTTTTTGGTTTTGATTTGTTTTTATTAATACAGTTTACATTTATTGAGAACCTAGAATTGTACTAGGTGACTATGCTTAAGTACTTCCAGGGACATGATTTCATTCTATTTCCTTTTTAAAAGGTTTATTTATTATTTTTGGTTGCTCTGGGTTTCTGTTGCTTCGAGTGGGCTTTCTCTAGTTGTGGCCAGTGGGGGCTACTCGTTGTGGTGGCTTCTGTTGTGGGGAGTTTGGGCTCCAGGGCTCGCAGGCTTCAGTAGTTGGAGTGCGTGGCCTCAGCAGTTGTGGTGCATTGACTCAGTTGCTTTGCGGAACGTGGGATCATCCCAGACCAGGGATCCAACCCGTGACCCAGATTCTCGACCACTAGACCACCTCATTCCATTTTCTGAACAGCTTTGCTAGATGGAGGTGATTTCCAGATTTCCTGAGTTAAAGCAATGCTCAGTGGTTAATCCTGGGTCCTGTGGTATCCTGGTTGGATTGCCATGTTTTCAAAATGCCAAAATAATCCCAGTTTACACCTGGGGAGCAGGTTAATTGTTGGAAAAATGAAATTTATCTTATGATGATGATCAGTAGCGGTCATCACTGTAACCTTTTTATTATTTATGAGAACAGGAGGAGCCGAGACAGTTAGCTTTCTCAGTTCCTGGATGAAACCACAAAGCCGAGAAAATTGACATGCCTGAAGTCATGCAAGTAATGGTTGGGCTGGATCTAGGACCCAGGGCTTTTGACCCTTGTAAGTTGTAGTCTGTTTTCTTTAAAAATTTTGAACCATTAACTATCATTGTGCAATAGGAGGATTGTAGAGAGTGAAGATTGTTACTTAGGAACCATTATGTTATCGTTAGAGTTCTCATGGGCCCCACCTCGCCTGCCTTTACATGAGTAACCATGACTCTCTTTCCACAGACACAGCAGAACCAACGAGCAGGGAGTAGAGTTGAAAGCTTTTTTTCTCTGGAGGAGAGGAACCACATCACTCTAGGCTATCACATGAGTCATTTGGATGTGGGGGGTAATCTACAGATACAGTGTAGCCCAGCCAAGAATCTGTTTGTAACAGTGACTGATAAATGAAGAAACCAGTATTGTGCATCCTTGAGCAAGTTTTTCTTTCTCTTTTCCCCTTGAATAGGGAGAAAGAAGCATCCACCTATGAAGACGGTGCAGACAGTCCTGAACAGTAATTGTGGATGGTGTGGCTGCCAGATTAGTTCTGCTGAGCATCTGAAATGAACCTCTCCTATTGATTGTTTCAACTGGCCCTGAGCCAGGAGTACTGGGTTTGCTTGACTTCAGGATAAAAAGAAACGGTCTTGGTTATCATCGTAATCATATGAACCAGTGTGATGGTGAAATGAGATGAGGCTCCGAAATGGAACTGTAGCCACTGTTTTAGCATTTATCACCTCGTTCCTCACTTTATCTTGGTATACGACATGGCAAAATGGGAAAGGTAAGGAAAAAGTCTCCAAAAAACATTCGTGGAATGTGGTTGGTTTTTTGCTTTGTCAACGGTGCATAAACGCTCTGAGTTAAATGCCCCTACAGTCTGCATGTTTCATGCTATCTGCTGGCGGCCTGCCAGTTTCTTTCTGACACCGAAATGAAACAGTTTTCTTGGACAGAGGAGACAAAATTTCTCATTTGAATGGGGTTTGCTTTGTTTCTTGATTTCTTGTAATTGCTCTTGTAGAAACATGCTCATCAGCGGTTTGTATTATAAATGACAGCCAAGTTCAGTAATGAAGACTTTCATTTTGGCATTTTATTTTTTATTATTAAACATCATCAATGTTTAATGAGCTTCCTAGTACCGGATGTTGTATGAAACACTTAAAAGGACACAGTGGCTTCATGAAATTTATATGCTGATTATCCTAATGATTTGGTGCTGTGTAGTTAATGATTTAAATCGTATGTGTTGATAGGTTGCTCTTTAGGCAAAAGTATTTTTGAAGTGGGTGAGGAGAAATTCCCATCTGAAATTTTAAAAATTAATTCGGTTGAGACTATTGAACTGTGTTTTTAAGGAAAGTTATCTGTTTAGAGATTGGAACTGTGTTGAAGGGTAATGCATTTCTTTGCTTTTCTTGGAAAATGTTTACAGTAAATTCCTACCCCTATTTTTATTATTTGTAGACTTTTAAATAAATAATTTGTTTGTCTATGGCTGCCCTAGGTGCAGCCACATAGATTGCAGCCTGTGGGCTTTCTCTGGTCGCAGTGAGCAGGGGCTACTATCGATGCAGCGCATGACCTTCTCTTGCAGTGGCTTGTTGTGGAGGACGGGCTGCGGTGCACAGGCTTAGCTGTGCAACCGCATATGGGGTCTTCCCAGACCGGAGAGCGAGCCCGTGTCCCCTGCATCGGCAGGTGAATTCCTAACTACCGGACCACCAGGGAAGTCTCCTACCTCTTCTTTTTACATATCTCTTTCCCTCGTATTAGTCTAGGAAATATTAATGGCAAGAAGAATGGACATTTGTTTGAGTCAGGGTAGAGCAGTAGTTATCACCTGGTTATCAAAAGGTGCTGTTGCTGGCATCATTGACTTGCATGAAGGTAACTTTATTCCTCATTACTTTTTCTCTGGTGTGTGTGTAGGTATGTATATATCTGTGTCGGTGTGTATATATTCATGAAATAAGCTGATATAAGCGGGCAGATGTACTCTATGCTTTAAGAAAGTTTAGTATTGTTTTTCTCTTTCTCTGAGTTGGGCTCTAATTTTGGAAGGCATTCTTTGCGGGGGGGAATGAATGAAACACTTACTGAAGATCTTTCTTCTTTGCAGACAAATATATACATTTTAGATTTCATTTTTTTAATCATACCAAAAGGAGAAGACTTACTTAGGAAGAACTTAAGAGTAGTTAATCAAACTATTGCTTGGCCCTGACATGAGCAGAACAGATGACTGGCTTTAAATAAAGATGACTTAGAAAATAAGAGAGTTAATCATAAGAGTATATGAAAGTTTTTTCTTATCAGCAAACTTATCTACCCAGAAAGTTATAGTACCAGAAACTTGACCCTTTTAACTGTGTCTTATTTAAAGCATTAACACTTTTGGAATCTCCATTCCGTCTATCTTATTTCTTATGTAAAGCCATTAATAAGCATTATTTGTGTGTGTGTTAGGTTGTCTTTAGAATCATTATTAATTAAAAAGAATATACAGATTTTGTCACCAGATTGTGAAAGAATGTGGTATTCGAGACCAGAATGTGGTATTAGAAACACACACACAGTCTCTTTTCTTTGGTGATCACTCTGAGTGGTTCTGTAATCCTGTGCATGTTTTTCCACTTGGTGTTTTGTCTGAACTCTTTCAGGTATCAGCAGAGGTCTCCTGTTGTGCTTATGTAAAATCCCCTGTGCTTTAATGACATCGTTTATGTAACCACTCTAACTGCTGAGCATTTGGATTCTTTCTAGATGGTTCTGGCAGTCAGCCTGGATTTTCCAGAGCCGGCCTCATTTCAGATGTTTAGTTCTTGTATACTCATAAGCCACATGCTCTGCTTTTTATATTGAGAGCGTGGTTTCCGTAATCACTGGATGTTGCTGGACTCAGAGTTTTCATTTTTCCTGCATGCATCACTGCCTTTTCCCACACCCACCTTGTGCCTATCTCTGTATTATGTGCTGTAAATATGAAGGGGAAGAAGAAACTACACAGCTTGGAAATCTCAGGGAACAGTGGGGGAAGGTGCAAGTAAAAAAATGTGATACCATCCGATAGACGGAGATAGAAGCAGCAGCAGAGTGCATGTTATATGTTATGAGACAATAGCATAGTCTCATTTAATCCTCATAACAACCCTGGGAAGTATGATTACTCACTTGCTGTAGATGAGGAAACCAAGGCTGAGTGTCAGAAACTTGTCAAGGTCATACATTAAGTGGAAGAGTGAAGTTTAAACTCGGTCAAGCTGGCTCCAGAGACGATGCTCTTAGCTGTTTGTCTGCCGCCCAGAAGAGCAGAGACCAGGCAGATTAGGGGAGAGTGGGCACGGCAGGCAGAGGGAGCTGCCTTTACTTTCATGAAGCTCTGAGAGAGGTGGCGCATTTGTGCTTTGGAATTATATTCATTGTGGTTGGCGGACAGGGTTCCAGGGCTGTCCCAGGGTCTAGCTGGTAATCCCAGTGTGGTCCCTATCATATTTATCCTAGGTCTTCACTGACCACTCGAAAGAATAAATGAGCTGGTCCATGGGATTGGCATAATTTGGGGAAGATATCAGTAACTCCACTAGGAAAGCTGGAGTTGAGGCCAGGGTACAAGTTTCTGCAGGGTATACTGGATTCTCACATTAAAAAAATGAGACAAAAGTCTGTTCTCTACATCTGTGTCTCTTTTTCTGTTTTGCGTATGGGGTTATCATTAATGTCAATGTATGACAAAACCCACTACAATATTGTAAAGTAATTAGCCTCCAACTAATAAAAATAAATGAAAAAAAAATGAGACAGAATTCCAAGTATGTGGAAAGCACAGTGGGAAAGTTGTAAGCAGGTGTGAGAGTGGGATGAGAGTAATTGCATGTCTTACTCGTGTGTGTGTGTGTGTGTGTGTGTGTGTGTGTGTGTTGAGGGGGGTTGGTTCTCCTAATGAATTTCCTGTTTTGGTCAGGCACAGGGCAGAAACTGGACATCTTAGACCCCTGTCCTTAGGGATACCTAACATTCATGTACGTGTTTCTGTGTGGACATGTATTTTCATTTCTCTCTATCTAGAAGTAGAATTGCTGGGTCATGTGATAACTCTATATTTAATCACTTGAGGAGCTGCCAGATTTTTTTCCCAAAGAAGCTGGGCCATTGTGCATTTCCTCCAACAGGATATGAGGGTTACCATTTCTTTACATTCTTGATGATACATGTTTCCTGGCTTTTGGAGTCTACTTGTCATAGTGGTAGTGAAGTAGTATATCATTATGGTTTTTATTTGCATTTCTGATAATATATAGCATCTTTTTATGTACTTATTAGCCATTTGTATATCTTCTTCAGAAAAAAAATGTCTAGTCAGGGTCTTTGCCTATTTAAAAATTCAAAAAAAAATTTAAACTTTAAGAATTCTTTATTCTAAGGCAAAAATACAGTAAGGGTAGTGGATCAACCACCTATATAGCTAATATGAAGGTTAAAAGACAAAGCTAGTAAAATCATAAAACTATCAATAAAAATATATACACACCATAATTACAGAGTGGACAAAGTAAAAATATATAAAAGATGAGATCAAAAATGTAAAATGAGGGGGTGGAATTAAAAAAGAAGTATACTAAGTCATTTCAGTCATGTCCAACTCTCTATGACCCTATTTATGGACTGTAGCCTGCCAGACTCCTCTGTCCATGGGGTGCCCAACATAGGAACACCTAAATACATAAAGCAGTTATTAATAGACATAAAGGGAGTAATTAACAATACAGTGAGTAGGGAACTTTAACATCCCACTTAAATCAATGTGGATAGATCATCCAGACAATCAATAAGGAAACTTTGGCATTAAACGGCACATTAGGTCAGATAGATTAAATATATATAGGACTTTCAACTCCAAAAGAGCAGAATACTCATTCTTCTTAAGTGTGCATGTAATCAATATTCTCCAGGATAGATCACATGCTAGGTCACAAAGCAAGCCTCAGAAGATTTAAGAAGATTTAAATCATATCTAGCACCTTTTCTGACCACTGCAGTATGAGACTAGGAATCAACTACTGGAAAAAAATATATGTGGAGTCTAAACAGTATGCTACTAAACATTATCAGTGGATCACTGAAGATATCGAAGAGGAAATAAAAATATACCTTGAGACAAATGAAGATGGAAACACAGCATTCCAAGATTTATGGGACATAGAGAAGACATTTCTAAGAGGGAAGTGTGTAGCAATACAGGCTTAACCTTGGGAAACAGGAACAATTTCAAACACTCTAACCTTACACATAAAGGAATGAGAAAAAGAATAGCAAAGCCCCAAGTTAGTACAAGTAAGGAAATAATAAAGATCAGAGTGGGAGTAAATGAAATAGAGACGAAAAAAGCAGCAGCAGAGATGAATGAAAGAAACTAAGATCTTGTCCTTTGAAAAGATAAACAAAATCAGTAAACCTTTAGCTGGACTCATCAAGAATAAAAGAAGGCCCAAATAAAAAATGAAAGAGAAGTTACAACTGATACTACAGAAATACAAAATGTAAGAGATTACTATGAAAATTTGTATGTTAGCAAATTGCACAACCTAGAAATAATGGATGAATTCCTAGAAACATAGAGTCTTCCAAGATTGAATCAGCAAGAAATAGAAAATATGAGCAAATTGATTACCTTAATGAAGTTAAATCAGCAATTAAAACAAAAAAAAATTCCCAAAGAACAAATGTCCAGGATCCGATAGCTTCACAGGTGAGTTCTATCAAATGTTTAAAGAAACATTT